ATGCTGCTTCTTTACATCTGCACTCATGAATCTTTGTTTGTTTCCTTATTTCAACTGAAAAAAACTACACACACACATTATGTATCTATAAACTAACATGGCTCCTGTGTGGTTGCACAAGAGGGAAAAAGAGAGCCCAGATACTTCCCCCTACCTAATGTTAGAAAATTCTTACAGCCATTTAACTGTGCTAGGTACAGTACACATCATGAACTCCTTTAAGAATAGCCCTTCTGTGGGCCCTGTACACAGGGGTGAATTTCACCCTATCAGAAAACCTTGGTGCAGGGGATATTCTAGGTTAAAACTGATCAGAGATTTGACACTCCAAGAAAGCTGTGTGGTTATTTTTGGAAAGCTTTTTCATTCTCTCTTTTGGGGGTACATATTTATTATGGGTTTATGCATGTGTAGTTTGGGGATTTCAGATTGCTTAGCAAGAACACATTTTAATAATTAACAGTCTCTCCCCCAGCCCCCTACCCCCATCACATTTCAACATTTTGAGCTTCATTTTTCTTCATACTGGAAACTAAAAGGTCGGGGCCCAGAGAGTAAAAAAATCTAAACAAACAATAATAAAATTGTCTAGTGAACTTTAACTACAAAAATCAAGAACATGCGGATCTACTCATGAATATTCTGAAAGCAGTTTAAAAGAATAGAGGAAATTATCTGCTAAGAATTATTTACCTGGCTGTAGTAAATGTTAAGGAGTGAATGGAACAGTTTCCAGTGGTCCAAGGGGATACAGAAAGAGCATGCATGCATTTTTCCTCCCATGTAGTTATTTTTAAGTTGGGTCACAGTATAAATTTATTCAGAGTATTGTGATACTTATTTATGTCATAGTCTAGACCTTTTTGGCTTCCTCTCCACTTCACCCAGTTTCCTAAACAAATCACTGACCACTGATCATATCACACAGAATACTCTAGTGAGGAGATGGTGGTGGATGGAAGGGCTGGACCCGAGCAACAGTAGCCCTGTGTTGAAGAGGCATCTCATTTCCCATAACAGTGGTCCAATAGTGACCTCATTAGAAAGAACAAAATCACTTATGGGAATGTAAAAATCTCTCTGAAACCAGGGAAGGTATGTTAAAACATAGCCAAATGGCCTGTCATGTGTGCCATGTTTTAGCTCTCCGATAACTTGAGTACTATCCTGGGAAAAGAGAAGTGAAACCCTTTCAATAGAAATTGTAGCACAATTAGTGAATGGTAACAGTAGCAGATACCATTGTAATGATAAATAGCAGCATAAACTGGAATTAAAATACTTCCACTTCTAGACTTTTGTCATTGTACAGTTAAAATGAGCTGTTTTGCATAAGCTATATAGAAAGGGTAAAATAAATCTTACTGGAGTTTATGCTGTAGAACAGGGATCGGCAACCTTTGGCATGTGGCCCACCAGGGTGAGCCGGACCAGTTTGTTTACCTGCCATGTCCACAGGTTCGGCCGATCGCGGCTCCCACTGGCCGCAGTTTGCCATCCAAGGCCAATGGAGGCTGCGGGAAGCGGCGCAGGCTGAGGGATGTGCTGGCCGCCACTTCCCGCAGCCCCCATTGGCCTGGAGTGGCGAACTGCGGCCAGTGAGAGCTGCGATCGGCCAAACCTGCGGACGCGGCAGGTAAACAAACCGGCCCGGCCCGCCAGGGGGCTTACCCTGCCGGGCTGCATGCCAAAAGTTGCTCATCCCTGCTGTAGAATATAGCTCAACATACAGTTTTTTTCATGATAGTGCAGGTGTAAAACTATTAATATTCTTTACCTTAGTTCTGGAGTGCACAATGGCATTTACTATTTGCAGGTGGAGATATGTACCCTGATAGCAGAGGTTGTGTCAGTAATTCCCTTGTAAACACCTGCTTTTGGAAGTTTATAATAATGTAGCCACATACATTTGCTCTTTGTTGGAACTTTCCATATTTTATCAGAAAATCTGAAGAGATAACAGAGATTCTGCTAATAAGAATGGCTGGTACACACAGATGTAATGGCTTGTATGTACGTGGATGTTGGAAAGACTACATCTACTGTCTGCTTTAGTGTTTAACCATTCTCACTAGTGCCTAAGCTGGCTGAAGTGCTTCTTCTGATCAATTTATAGAAATCTATGTTTATAGAGTCAAAAGGCTTGAGGTCCTAGTCAACTCTCATTGAACTCAATGGTATTTTTTTCATTGACTTCACTGGAAGGTGGATGAGTCTCTTGAGAGCTGCTGCACAAAGCGCCATCCAGTTCCTGTTGACACTCAGGGAATTATGCATGCTCAAAGACTTCTCAGGCTTGGAAATGAAAAATTCTAGGTTTTATTCCATATTGGCTGGCTGTAAGCAGTTAGATAACAGCCACACATTATTACAGCGTCCTGTATATTTTCATTCCCATAATCCCCTACGTGCTTTGTAGTGACTTCAAAGAGAAAAGAATTGTTCTAACAGCAAGATACACTTTGTCCAAAACATTCAGAAGTGGGCACTAATTTTGGATGTCCAGCTCAAGACACATAAATCTGTTCCAGATGTGGCACCCACGATCAGTGAGCATATTGGACTATTAGGAGGTGAGTCTTTGCCTCCTGCAGGTGTACTATGTGTTCCCCTGCTTTGTACACACCAGCCAGCTATGAATGGTGGGATTTTACACCATTTGGAAACTGTAGTTTTCAGGCTTCTGGATATTTTATTCATTTGCTTCCTTTATAAGCCTGATCAGAGGGTTAAGAAAAGTGGATCACACTGAACCTGGGGAAGGAATTCAAAACTAAAAACACAGGAGCAGCTGTCTAGCCAGCTCTCCTATTCCAGGGAAAAGCCTCTCTCTTAGTCACAGAAAAACAACAAAATTTAAAACAACCCCCACTCCCCACCCCCAGTTTGGGAGCTTCTTACCCAGAGCCCTGAGTTCAAGAACCACTTTCTTCTACTATCAGAGGGGTAGCCGTGTTAGTCTGAATCTGTAAAAAGCAACAAAGAGTCCTGTGGCACCTTATAGACTAACAGACGTATTGGAGCATAAGCTTTAGTGGGTGAATATCCACTTGCAGGCCCTGTAAGTTCTTTACAGGTGTGGCTGCTAGTACATCTCACTGTGTTGTTGGAGCTGAGAGTTGGGAAATCTCCTTCAGAAACAGCATTTAAACAACTGGAGTTGATATCTATACATATTATATACAGCAAAACAAAACAAAAGACAAACCTAACTAGGTTAAAAGAATGTTAAGCTTGAAAAGTCAAACACTGACAGTTAAGAAATGACAGTTAAGGTTGCATGTGCAACCTCAATTTGGTCTCTTGTGCATCTTCATGACATACTATTTTTACCTCAGGACTTCTGTCCCTGTCTGCTCCTGTCCTCTGCTCCTTTTCCCTTTTCTTAACCTGTTCTCCTCTCCAACTTCAACCTGAAGGAGGGTTCCAAAGAGGATGGAGCTTGGCTGTTCTCAGTGGTGGCAGATGACAGAACAAGGAGCAATGGTCTCAAATTGCAGTGGGAGAGGTCTATGTTGGATATTAGGGGAAACTATTTCAGTAGGAGGGTGGTGGAATCTCCATCCTTAGAGGTTTTTAAGGCCTCTCTTGACAAAGCCCTGGCTGGAATGATTTAGTTGGGGTTGCTCCTGCCTTGAGCAGGGGATTGGACTAAATGACCTCCTGAGGTCTCTTCCAACCCCGATATTCTATGATTCTGTGATCTTCTCTCTGCTCTTGCTTGCCTACTTCTTACCCCTCTGCATTCAAGTCTGGATACTTCCTTCCTCCGCCTTCTCACTGCCTGGATACAAGCAGGGGATGATGGAAAGCACAGAAGAGACAGCTTCCCTGCTCTCAGTTCCAATGTCGGCCCACAGGAGCCCCTGGCAACTAGGAGTAGCAATTGCAGAAAAATCCTGCTGAGCCTCTGATCCCTAAAGCACACTCACTGGGGTGGGCATGGAACTCTATGGGGGTGGAGGAATGTACTCAGTGTGGACAGAATCTTTAGAGAATTTTGCTGCCAAACTCTGACAAGGCTCCTAAGCATGGGCAAATGGTGATTTTCAGAGGCTTATAACTGCAACTTTTCAAATCACTGCTCCAAAGCATGGAGGCACGGGAGGTTCTCAGTTAAATGGCTGTAAGAATTTTCTAACATTAGCAAAACAACATGATCTCATTCTCAGAAATGGCTCAACTGTTTTTGCTGAAACTTCAGAAATAACTTCAGCCTGAAGCAGGCACCCGTGCTGGAAAATTTCACCACAAATGGTTAAAGTTATAAGTAATGGAAACAGGATCTTATAAAGGAAACTGTTAGGCAGCCTAAACTAAAGGGAGCCTTGCCAGCTTTGCATACAGTGAGGCCTCAGATTGTTAAACTAAATCCTCAATCCTACAAATGCTTGCTTGAATGCTTGATTTTACATGGGAGTTGTCCTGCTGAAGTGAATGGGACAACTCACAAATTAGGAACACGTGTAAGTGGGGTCTTGATTCTTTTAAGGGCAGTCTTTTTAGCATCCATGGAAAGTGGCAGATTTCTCACACTAGAAAGTAAACTTCTCTGATTATCGATAGATCAGGTGCCTCAACCCTGAATGCTTTCCATGCCCACCGAAGGAGAACGAGACAAAGCTGTTTCTCAAGAGAATGAAGCAAAGCTTTTGGTTAGGCCAGCATTTTTCTAAACACATGCGTGTATATAAACTCATAGACTTTAAGGTCAGAAGGGACCATTATGATCATCTAGTCTGACCTCCCGCATGATGCAGGCCACGAAAGCTGACCCACCCTCTTTCCCTTGACTCTGCTGTTGAAGTCCCCAAATCCTGTGATTTAAAGACTTCAAGTCGCAGAGAATCCTCCAGCTAGCGACCCCCGCCCCATGCTGCGGAGGAAGGCGAAAAACCTCCAGGGCCTCTGCCAATCTACCCTGGAGGAAAATTCCTTCCCGACCCCAAATATGGTGATCAGTAGAACCCCGAGCATGCAGGCAAGATTCTCCAGCCTGACCCTCATTGACCATTGATACTATTTACCAACGTGGGCATGTTGTTGACCAATTGACTAAAATCACGTTATCCCATCAAACCATTCCCTCCATAAACTTATCTAGCTTATCTATATGACAACACAAACTCCATTCTAATCTGTTCCACTACTATGGTATAGAAAAGTTCTCTGTTTTGTAATGGTTATGATTTTACACATATGAAAAAAAGTTTTAGCTGATAATTACAGATATTTTACAAAAATGAATGATATTGGAAGTAGGGAAAATAAGGTCCGGTGTTTCTTATCCTGTATATGATGTGAAGGCCCTGGCATCATACAAAGAGATACAATGAGTTGCCACTGAGAGGGAGACATCTGAAATTTGCATGAAGAGCTGTCTGCAAAACAAATGAAAAGGGACAGATAAAATCCCACATTATTAGCTAATATAGCATATGAATTTCAGTGTGCAGTGTGCACATTACAGATAGTCATGCTTTATTGTTGCAGTGAATTAATAACATTGTCACAATGGATAACATCATATATGCCTCCTATCCAAATGATAGGAAAACAATTAGGGTTTCATAATAGCATGGTTATCCCATGGCTACTTTGGGATTAAAAAACCACAACAAGTTGAAATTCTTTAGTGGCGAGTGGCATAACCTCAGCCTACCACTGTAGGAGACAGCGCTCAAAGCAAAAGCCTGCATTCATGGCAGATTTATGCACTGTGTGTGAGTCCCAGTTGTTTTTTGTCCTCCTGACTGAACTTAGTTATGCTGAAGAGTGGATAGTAAAAGCAAGCTCCTAGTCTACTTGGTATTTTCAGTGTTACTTCTAGTCCTTCTTAGAAAGAACAAGGTCTTGGTTTGCTGATAAGCTAGCAGGGGAGGAGGGGGGCTGTTGTTAGGGGTGAGTCTAAGTAAGTCTAGAGGGAGTCTAAGTTGGTGTACTATGCCATTGTCTGGCCTCCCTCAATGTATACATTTCACCAGTTCCGTAGACTTAAATTAACTTAAATTTAAATTTGCTTAGATTCACACCTGCTTACTACTATGAAGCTCCTTCATACACACTTCTGAATTTGGTCCACTGAATCTGAGTCTATGTTAACTTACAACTTCGTCCACCTCGTTGGTGTGTAACTTATACTCCTTTAAGCTCTTACATTAGTGAGTCAGTGTTAGTAAGTCCAAGGGTGTCTGAGCATAAGGTCTTCTGAGTAAATGAAAGGATATTTAATTAATGCCATTTTATCTTCACCTCTGAATTTGATACAATGTCGGTATTGCACAGGATGCCTTACAGTATGTGTATTGTTTAATTTCAAAAGTAGATAAACTGTATTCTTTTCCCTGGTGAACTATGAGAGTTATGCACTTCCCATTGTCTTGTTTCTTTGTGGAAAAACCCAGGTTTCTATTCATAATTCCTATGAATATCTTAACTATATTGCATTTACAAAACTACTGGTGGATATAACTGTATCTGCAATACTGAATTTAAGACTATTCCCCATAGAAATCATTTTCCTTCATTGCACCATAGAAATAACAAATGCACAAAACACCTTTACTATTAAGGGTGCTTGCTGTCTCCAGGGACACATTTTTTGATTAACAATTTCCAAACTTTGTCAAGGATTGCACATTCCCTTTGGTATTCCTTATTAAATTATTCATTGCTTTTCTTTCCAGCATACTTAGAATATTTCACTGATGTTTAAGGCAGCTCATATTCATATGAAGATATATGACCAATATAGATGGTCAAAAATGTAAACACATTCTGTAAATCAATCCCATGTAGTCCCTATGGATAGAATAAAATCTGTGGATTTTTGAATCTGAGTTTATCTTTTGTGCCCAGCATGCAAGACCTCCTGTGTACAGTGTGAAATGAAATACTTGTGTTATAGCTGACTTCTTATGAAAAATTAATGAAAACATCAAGCAATATACTCCACTTTATGCTTTTTTTAAAGATTTTGCACAGAAAGCAAATTGGACTGTCCATGAGCACGGTAGGGTTCGGAACAACACCCAGGTGTAATGTTTCAAGGATAGGCAGTCCCTCCATAGTACTGATAGATTTTTATTATTTTTACGTAATCCTACTTTGTCTTTTGGTAGTAAACTATTTGATTTGCAGCAATTTGTTTTTTAATTGAAATAGCGAGAATCAATAATGCTCTTCCCAAAGAAGCCAACTAAGTATGCATATTGCAGTGTATTCACCTAAACAAATAAAAGAAGGTGAACAGCTGCAGGCTTTCTTTTTGCCTTTCAGTGAGACTGTTACTAGCATACTCTTATTTTCCCTAGTTGTCTGAGAAGCATGACTAAATATCTTTGCTATTATTTATTATTTGTAATATAGTGGTGCATAGAGACTCTAATCAAGGCTTCGGGTGCTAGGTGCTGTACATACATATCATAAAAACAAAGGCAATCCTAGCCCCAAATATCTTAGCCTTTAATATTTTTCTTTATACTATATATAAATTAAAATACATAAAATCTCCCATAGCATGGGGTGTTTGAAAGTCACAGGTGTTATTGCAGGATTTCCTGTACTACCTATAAAGACCACCATAAATACCACAGTAAAATTCATTAAGAAAAACACAACATTTTAAAGATTATAATGCCAACCACTGTGCAGTAGGTCAGATTCAGGCCACATTTCCACCAGCTTCTGCAGATGAAGGGGGCCAAAGTGGAAAGTCAGCCTGATGGGAGCACTGGACATTGTGGCAGTGGAAAGCTGTTGTAATCTCAAATCCCTTTGGGAGCATCACAGTGCAAAATATGAGTGCTAATAGCTAGCAGTGTACATGTGTGGAGCATTGGGCCAGGAGATATGCTGAGCCAGCCCTGTTGCAGCCTCCACCAGGTAGACTTTTGTGGAGTCTTAGTCAAATTTTCAATCTGCCCACACTTATCAGTGCCGTCAGTGGACCTTTTTTGCAGTGAATGCCTCCTTTGGTGAATCTGACCCAGTCTGATAAGCATTTATTATTATAGGGGGGGGGGCTGGTAGTGCTGCCTATATTTAAGGTTACCTAACACTTTCCATTTTAAGACCCTGTTTTCATTGGTTATATCTATGCCAAAATGTAATTTTGGGATGAACTTTTCAATGCTAGGTGTCTGCCTCATGCTGCATTATTATTAATTATGCTTATTATGTTTGAAAGTTTCAGCTAAAATGGTCCAGGTATTTCTGAGAAGAAGGGAATACATTGTTCTACCTATGTTAAAAAAATCTTACAATCATTTCACTGAGAGGTTCTCACACTTCCAGGCTTCAGAACAGGAATTTGAAATTTGGCAAGAGGGACACCCTGGTATCAGGGATATGCCTTTTGCAATCCCTGTGAAAAATTGCCCAAATTTGGCCAATTTATGAGCCTCTAAAACATCTCAATCTGCACATGCTCAGTAAAGACTTGTTAGAGATTGGCTATTAGATTCTAGGAAGATGCCATCTGTACTGAGCATGCTCCAGCCCCTCACCTCTTCTGCGTACTGAATGGACTGTACATGTGCCATCACCACAGAGTGACTGAGTGTGCTCTAGCCCAAGAATGCAGAGGCTGAGCTAGACTTTCCTTGCAATTTCTCTTCCTGCCTGCTGTGATATTGGACATGGGAACTGAGAGCAGGGAGACTGTCTCTCCTCATGTCTCAGTGGTCCCCCTGATGGTGCCCAGGAAGCAAGGAGAAGAAGGAGGAAATTGCTTGACTGGAATGGAGAGGAGAGGAGGGGGGAGGGGGAAGGGCCTGGATGGGAGTGGGGCGGGGAATAGAAACAAGGAAAGGGCAGAGGTGAATAGGAGCAGAGGGAGAGGAGGGGGGCAGGAGTGAGAAGGTGCGGGGACTAGAAGCAAGGGTTGGGAAAGAGGGATAGGAGCAGAGCAGTCAGGAGACCATGTAATTAAAAAACGTGTCATCATTCATATGTATAAGGGGGCTGAATTAAGGCTGCACAGACAGCCTTCATTCTGACATTTTCTAACTGTCTAGAGTTTGACGTTGCAACCCTATGCTTCCTTTAATATAGTTATTGTATGAAATATACTGTATGAAATCAGTGTTAGCCAGTAACGTCAGGTCTAGGTCCCAAGTATAGGGGAAAAAATGCACCCACAGAACTCAATTCAAAAGTCAAAATTCAATGGTTCAGTAAATGTAGACACTAGTCTAGGATTCTTAGGTACTATGAAGATTGGTGCCTAGATAGATAAACAAGAGAGACAGAGATGACAGATTATAGAGAAAGAAAATAAGTTTTCTGGTTCGCTGAAGCAAAGAACAAATCCTCTCTCTGACTTACTCCCTCTTTCTGAGCCAGTCATAATGCGGCTTTTCAATAAAGCACAATGGAGTATAATACACGGGTCTTCTTTTGGCTTGCCAGGGAGAGTAGACCTCATTTATTTTATTTTACAAATCATTTGATATAATCATAATATCATCAATGGAATTGAACTTTTATGACTCAAAAATAGTCTCCTGCTTTGAAAATAAATGTCTTAGCCTCCGCATTTATCTTTCAGCAGGTGACTATTATCCAGTCACAATGTTCAATTTCATTGACATTATCTCCTAAATTGAATCATAAATGTGAGCGAGATCTGTAACATAATATGCAGACTTGGGTGTTGCTATGAATGAGGTGGAATTTCAGCTCCTGTCCTTTGGAGTCTGTTTTGTTTAAAAAAATCAGTGGATCATTTCCAAATGAACCCCTCCATCTTCCTTTAAAAGATGCCAAGCACAGTGTGCTGTCTGCAGTCAATTGAACCTCTGTGCCCCATGGTAACTCAATCCCTCTCCCCTTGTGCACGTGAAAGCTATGCAACCGATTCCCAAAATGACATGCTATCCCTACCCTGTCCAAACCTGAAACAGTGCACATATAATTTAAAAGGAAAAGAAAACTATAAATATTTTCCAAAGCTAGAATCAAGAAGTCAATGCTGACTTGATTTAAATGCTGCCCATGTCTATGGAATGCTACTGCAGTCTTTACTCTGTTCACCAATATCTAGTAAATATGCACTACCACGCCATGTGCCGCACCTTCCTCCCCCATCCTAATATTGTTATCTAAGAAGGAATCCAAATGCCTGTTACTTGCCTTTGCCTTGGGTAACTATAAAAGGCCTTTGCTACCAGAGGGTGAAGACTGAAAACAAAACCTTGAAGGTTGGTTGTTTTTTGTAAAGGTAGTTCCCAAAACTGTTCATTGTAAAACGCTGTCTGATCACCACTCCAAACTATAGAACATTGGCAAATACTAAGGACATCAAGCATGGAGGTGTCACAAGACCTGAAATGAATCTGTAACATTTTGATTTTAAAAGCTCAAGGAGAGAACACTGCTT